CTAATTGAACTGCCATGTGTCGACATTAAGAAAAGTAGCTCTAAGCATCTGCGGGAAACTTTGTTAATTGGACGGCACACTTGTTACACAAAGGAAGGTCTCTGGTGGCCTATTGCTTGGTTCTATATTACTAGCACTATGCTTGCAATTTCTGTTTAAATACCCCATAACTTATTTGCTCTGTATCTATTCATTTTTTCTGAAAATAATAATTGTTATAATCTAAAACTTTAGCAACTTACTTCCGATGATCTGGAATAAAAATAATAAGCATTTTTGTTTGAGAAACCTACTTGATATGTTTCACTAATTTCTGCTGTAGTAAAATTGTCTAATTAGTTACAGATTCTTCATTTAGACAAAATTATGTAACACATGAACTGGAAGCTACTTTAATTGGAGGTCCATACATTTATTTCTGACTTACCAAAAACCATATCTGGATTCATTGTTGTATGATTCATAATCTTGAAGATGTGTACCTTATTTTACTCCATCGGTTCTCGCCCTCTAATAGGATGACCCTTTAATTATTTGTTTATGTAGACTTTTTTTTCCGTAGCAACGCACGAGTAATTTACTAGAGCGAGCGGCGTCGTGGTGATCTCGTTGGCAAGCGATGGGAAGAGGACGGCGAGATGAGCCGAAGGAGGGCAAGGCGTCCACATGCAGGAGGCTCCCCAGCGAATCGAGGAGACAGCGCGAGGCATCTCCGACGGCGTGGGCCGGCCGTCGGGTGCCGTGCTTCCTCAGATTCGCGTTTCAGCCGTGCATCCAGTTTGTCGCTTCCCTCGACGTCGACGGCTCTATGATCAATTGTGTTCTCTTCCTCCATGTACTAAGCCACGACGAGATGTAAGTGCGCTCTCTATTTTGCTCTAAGTAACTCATATCATTGCCGCCTTCCACATGTTTGACGAAATTCCCAACCACATTGCTTACACAAAATTCGATGGAAAAAGGAACCAACATGGCTTGGCCATTAGGCAAACTGAGAGTTGCTTACAAGTCTCTTGCATATATGATGCTAAAGGAATTTCTTCCCACTTTGAACATTCAGCATTGCAGTCCATTCCTGTCATAAAACTGTTAGTGAATTTTCTCAAAATCCATGCTTGCTTAGTTTTTTTTACTTTTGTAGTGTTTTCTAATTTTTGTACTGGTCAATTTTAATAGCTCTCATACTTTCATTGTAAATTATAATAAGAGGTTGTATAGAAATGAATGGACAGTACAATTAATAGCTCTCATACTTTTGTACTAGTCAATTTTAATAGCTCTCGTATAGATGATTTTTGTATACTTATACAATGAATGAACAGTACAATTACTTTTATAGTGAAGTTGGTTGCATAGAAATTCTAGCTTTCTGTGTTATTTCTTACGTTGATTTGCTTATTCGTTGCTATAATTGTGTGTGGTTTTCTAGGATGGAGAGGCGAACCTCAAATGCGCAACATCTGATCTTGCTCGCTGAGCTGTTATTCTGGTATACAGCCCTTAAACACAAGCATGTCTTTATTTATTTGTTTATCTTGCTTTGCTTCAATGGAAGAAATAAAAATAAGAAACAATTTTTGTGCTGGATCTCGTGGAAAATTTGGAACAATATTTGATCTGGGGACAACAACTATGAAAAAAATTGATCTTGGATTTGAATTTCTTTTAATTTTTAAATGATGTACGGGGCCAACAAATTCAGTTATTTGATTTTGTAAGTTTGATATTTTCTGAAACTTGTTAGGATTTAGGGTGCATATCAGGAGATGTGCATCACGCTCAATGGTGAGACGAGAACCTGATTCGGTCACATATTTCTTTTGTTTGTCTTCCATGTTCCAATATAGAAAACATGTAGCTTAGTCGATACTAAATGTTTGGCACTAGAGTTTTTTCGCAGTAATCAGATGTTTTTTTACTGAAGGCCTTCCTATCTTACTTCATGTATCACTTAATGTTAACACTTCAACATTACTCGTGACTTGTGATGACATAGTGTGTTCATTGTCCGATGTGCTGCAGGACCATTGAATAGTACTCAGAGCACACACCTATTCGTGCCTCATTATGCTGTACTTGGATGAAGTTTCCCAGAATAGTTGGCAGTTTACATTGACATGGCAGGCAGGGATGTGGAATGACAAAAGATGATATTTTGGAAGAGCTGGTTCTGGAGCTAATGTACACCTACTTTGAGTACTTCCAATATTGTTTTCTACTTCGAAAGTTGTTTGGGTGGTAAATTATTTTTCAAGTTTGCAAGCATATATTTATTAATTTTCTACCCGTTGCACTGCACATGCCTTTTGGCTTGGCCTTCGCCCTCCATGCACGCCAGCTGTGGTGGAAGCCTGGCTCCTACAACTCTGCAATGAGGCAACACAGAGAGTGACGACAACTTCTGAAGCCATGGCTAGCCTGTGATTACCAGAGTGGCGATGAGTGTGATTTGGATACCTGTTTTGTCTGCTCCTTCTGTTTTTATTTGAGTTGCTGGGGATGAGATGTGACCCTGCTGCTGGGCGTCGCAAATGCCACGGCTCCAATGTATGCCCTAGCTTTGGTGATGCACGGGCGAGGCTACTCGATCTGGTGTAGTCGCCCTCCTTCCAAGAAATCAAGTTCTTTCGTTCAGATTTTAGATCTCTTGAGGTTCAGCTTAGTTCAAGGATAGAAAAGCATGCTCCTTATGGATTCAATGAGGAAAACCATTAGCCACTTATTCAAATTGGATGGTGTGGTGCACCTTCATCTTGCTATCCAACTTCTTAGCTTATTTGCTTTAACTTTACTACAGTTATATAGCAGGATAAGGATCCAATCTTGTGACGCCACTCCATTTGCACCATCATCAAAAGTTGCACATGAGTTGATTCAGACTTTCAGAGTTCATAGAACACCTAGCAGAGTTAATCAGCCTGAAGGTATATCAGATCCTAAGGAAAGAGGACCCGGTTCAGATTTGTCACTACTCTGTGCTGTTGGATAGCCATGGTATGTGTTAGTTTTAATTTACCACAAAGATTCGATTCTTGGGAGATAGGACAGGTGCATACATTACTTTTCTTATGAATCTGTTCTCTTTTTATGCACTATCTATCTATGAAAATTTTCAAAGAAATTGACGGCGGCGGCTTAGCGGCGGTGTGGTGAATGGCGAAGCAACTAAAATGGACAGAAGAGAGATGGTAAGGCATGGCTGGGAGACGTACATATTTGAGGAAATACGATTCATAATGTTCCATATTAACAAAAAATTGCTAGTCTTTGTAAAGTAATCCGAACAATTTGTTGATTCTGGGACAACTTTATTCTCCAATATGAATCTGTAAGAAAAGATATGGCATACATTTGTGTAAATTGATAATGTAAGCTCATCTTGAAACTCTATTCTTTTTTCAAGATTGATCTACTTGGTGGTGCTAACTTCCATTTTCTCAAAGCAGGGCATGTGTGCTATTTCTGAAAAAAGAAGGTTCCCTGTTGGCTGGCATCCCTGATGCTACACAGGAATATGTAGGAAAAGAAATGGAGTCTCATGATTCTTTGGATGTAGACGAGTAGGGCCAATTACAAATTGTTGGCTGTAAATGACTTCCGTTTCTAGCTTTCATAAAATTTAGACATGTACTACTCTTTAACAGTATGATGTGGTTGATGGTGGTCCTATCTGCTGGTTCAAATTATCACGTTGGATAATATTGCTTTAACTAGCAGTTGCAGTGTTCTTACTATTTTATTTCCACAATATCATCATGTTTTGCTATTGATGTAATGTTGTATTTGTTGACTGAAATCAAACCCTTCAGTCTTGGTGGACTCCTCATCCAAATATGACAACATCCACCATCTGATCAAACATAGGCCCCACACTATCACCAATTGATTTTGAATGCCTGAGTCAGTCCAAGTACCTAAACTATAGAGGGAGCAACTGGACAAGAGTCTTCCCGAAGCCAGTGCGGGAGCCAAGCACCCAAGCACGCCACTGGTGCCGGCGAGCACATGAGGCACATCGAATAACGCACCGCATCTTGGCCGGCTTAGAGATGCCCACCTTTCGTGTCACGGTCAACACTTCATCCTCTAGCCGGCCTTCCACTAAGGACATCAAACTGTACATGACACATCGCTCTTGCGCCTCCCCATACACCAGCGCGGGAGGGGCGTGAGCTGGTTGAAAACAATCCAAGCCGAAGGAGGACATCTACATCTGTGCCGACACCATGGTGGGTGGGTGGGTGGCGGGGTTGTTGGCTGCGTTGGGGAGAACGTCTTCATCTCCCTAAGATATTTAGAGAGTTCGAAAACTCATCGAGATATATACACTTCAAACGAAGTGCATTTTTGTTAATTGCAGAATTTTATGTCACCGTCTTTTTAATACACGCTGAACGCATGCAAGAGTGTTTATATATGGGACCAGAAAATATGTATTAGAAGGACCGATATTTATAGCAATACAATTATAAGTCGCATGCAACATCCACGTGATGAATTACAGGCCCGTGGCAACGCACGGGCGTTATACTAGTTTCTGGCTTGTATTGGACGTTGTCTTGACGTTGGAGTTTCTGTTGCTCTCTGGTACTACTGCACCCGGTCGTGCCAGACGCCTTGGATGTTTCCATTGCCGACGTGGAGTGGCGGTATGACCCATGGGGTCAACAGCAAAACAAGCATGCAAAAATAATTAATTTCTCACAACAATTCCTGTCCCGCACTTTTAAGCCAGTTACAATCAACATAACTAGAACGTCGGTGCGTTGCCATGTGTTCTAAAATAAAGTAAGATGCTACTCGCGGAGCTAAAATAACTGAGAACAAGTACGTCTCAACTACCTCATCTTCCATCCTCGGTTCCCAGCTAACACACATCTTACATCCTCTGTTCGCAGCTAACATAATTAAGTGACACCTAGTATTCACGCTAGGATCTAACTTTATTACATCAAATGTCAACTCATGTAACCCATGGGTACAGTAACAGCGATACTTGGCTACTTAATCTTCTGTTGCTTCCAGCCAACGCCAAGTCCAACAGCAAGTCCAATAGCAGCACCCGCAGCGACTAGCCTTAAGCTCCTTGTACAGTATTTGAACTTGTTCAGTCCCATCGATAGCAGCCCACTACGAGTCTTCGAATATGCTTTTCTCTTCATTAAATCCTCATACAAAACAGAATTCTGAAACAAAAACCAACGGTTGAAAATTTCAGCTCGTCAGACTTCAAACAACAAATTATGATAATGATAATGGATCAGCAATGAATCTTAAAACAAATGGTTAGTTTGTAATTAGCTAATAAAACTAATAATAAGACACATTTCAGAGAAGAAACTATAAAAAAAGCTAATTTTAGTACAGAAAAATGGTTGTTCATGTCCTAAAAGGGTTCTACTGAGAAGATCTACAGAACATAGAAACACTGTCTAATGGACAGAAATTAACATCCTAAAAACTACCCTTTCTCAAATCTACTGATATCTTTAATGCTTATAAATGCAAATAAACCTGTTAGGATGCTTATACTAACTGGTTAGTGTTTTGTACTCCCTCCTATCCTTTTTGGATTGCTTATACTAACTTTCTTCAGTTTTTCCCCCTATAGTCTGCGCAGAAGCTTTCTTCACCCATCTTCTCCCCTTTTACCCCTCCGCTTCCACTTGGGTCTACCGCCTTCCACCTGCTTCTTTCCGTCCAGCTCCAGCTCGTCCCCATGGCAGACGAGGAAACCGATCTAGTAGAGGAAAGAGCCAACCTATAGATGAGGAAGATCAGTACGTGGAAGAAGATGAGGGCATGGAGGGGCGACAGCCTTGTGTTAGCGGACGATGGCAGTAGAAGAACGGAAGATGGGGACGTCAACCTCATGGACGGCAGCATCTACGAGACCGACGGTGTGCCTGCGGCGGTTGTGGAGTACAGCATCATCGTGGACGATGGCTTGCTCGCGACAGCCGTACATGACAGCGAGCTCACCACATGGAGAAGAGCGCCCTAGTGGGCGTCGGCGTGCTCTTCCAGGACAGTGTTCTTGTGGACGCCCGCGTGCTCTTCCAGGACAGTGTTCTTGTGGACGCCGGCGTGCTCGTGCCAGTCGGCGCTGTCGCCAACGTATTCGCGTCTGTTGACGTCGACACGCTCAACCACAACGGCAACCAGCAGAAAAGCGCTGGCCCGCAGAAGAGGGCGCCGACCACATGCGCGCACTGGTCGACATGCTCCACGAGCTCGACGATGGCACATGGCACAGGCGAGGCGCGTGCGGACAGCACAGCGCTTATGCGAGCCGCGCGCGGACGGCACGGCCATCATACCGCTCATCCACCTTGTCCTAATTAATTACAAAGTTCAGGTCTATGTGTGCCATTGTATGCCCGTGGTGAGCAGCAAAAGGATGGAGCAGAGAAGTGCGGACAGATCTGGTCATGGGGGAAGCTTTCTAAACATGTCTCTCTGATTCAATTGTTCATGAGGCAAGCAAAATTTCAACCTGCAAATCCACACGCGTGCAGGTCTGTTTAGGAGGGACCTGCAAAATTCTTAGCACTAATTCCTCCATTTTGATCTCTGCTGAATTTTTGAGACGTGGACAGTGCGGCGCCATGCAGAGTGCGAGAGAGAGGAAAAAAAGTTGCGCGCATAGCTGAAGCACTCCACGTGCAGCTACGGGGAGGGATTTGAGGCGACGAGCCATGCAAGCAATAACTACAGAGGCGTGCTGCGCTGGCTGCAAATCAAAAGCGAGGGCATAATTGTCCAAAACAATTAGCCCGAGCATCTCCTTGGTATGCGGGCTCAGCCTTATGCGCAGGGTAAAGAGGACCGGAGGAGGTATCTACTACTCCCTCCGTTCGGAATTACTCGTCCAAGAAATGAATGTATCTAGATGTATTTTAGTTGTAGGTACATCCATTTTTGTGACAAGTAATTCCGAACGGAGGGAGTATAAAGGTTAAAGAAAAGGTAAGTATGAGCAGAGCAATTATGCACTTGTTTTGAAAGAAACTGGGAGTTGAAATATTGCGATGGAGACATTCTACAAGGTCCCATAGAGTTTGATTCACCATCACAGAATTTTGACAACAATATGTAAATTGTTTATGAGACTAACCGGGGTAACTGCAGGTGTTGCAAGAGAGGTTTTGAGGTAATGTTCACATGCATAGAGAACATTTCTTTCATAAGCATCCCACGTTTTGAGATCTTCAGTGTCCTTGAAGTGGACACGCATCTTCTGTGCATTGGCCCTCATCTTGCGCATCAACTCAGGTGTTCGACTAGATACCTTCTCAAACTGACGGCATTGCCATTCGAACACACCTTTGCTCATGCCACATTGGGCGTCATACTTCTGTAAGATGGATAAATGGAAACTGTTACTCTGAAACAACTATCCTGAAAGGTTCACGACTGACTGAAATATTCTGGGAGCACTTTACCAGTTCACTGTTTTTGCCATTCTTGTCTCCTGGACCAAAAGAAATATTGAAACAGAAACAGATCAGAGATTGAGAAGGGTGAAACTGGAAACTAGCATAATTGGTCAAACATGCACTGCACTGTCAGATATGTTATCCAACATATCACCAGTACGCATAGAAAATGGAAACAACCAGTCTAGTTTATGGTTTGCCAGCTAAAGGATTATGTGGGCTAGAGATCTTTGACACTTGGTACATGAACATTAGTCTACTTGTCAAGTTGATATGGACAGGAACTTTCCCATGATAAGGGAAAGAGAAATGGTGCCAATTGCAATGGAGGAAATAAATGAGGGATGGAGTTTTCTCAGGTAATGAGCCAGCCTAACCAACGTCAGATCTGCTTACATCTAGAGCTTCAAATGGCATGAAATGCTGCACTACATTTTATATCATACCTTTCTGCAAGAAAACAAATACTGAGCCCGATTAAAAGCTTGATGATTTAAATTATAAATTACATTTACACATTTATGTCCTTATTCCTAACACTTTCATGATTCCAAATAGTCCTCACTGCAAGAGGAAAGGTCGCAAACATAAATGCTTGGCTAAATTTGTACATTTATGTAGTGTAGATAAAACTGTTCATACAAGAGAAGAAAATAAACGAGGTGTTTAAAGATGATTTCTACTCATCTTGTCAAGGAATTGAACACAGAACGACATTGATTACACAATGAAATGAACAATATGGCAATTCGACTTGAATAAGCACAGTAAACTTTCATGGAAACGTTAAGTGCTATTCCCTCCGACCCAGTAACAAATTCTATAACAAAGGATTTTCTACTACTAGAATGCAGACAGAAAAGTGTGCACAATATGAGAAGCAAATTTGATGTTTCATAGTTTCATTTCAACCCGGGCACCAGATCTGTAACAGAAAAGTGTGTACCATTTTAGATAAACAGGTATTTGATCCCCAATTCCATTACTGAGAACGAAACCAAACATGTAGCAGTTCAAGTGCTCCTAAAAACAGGGGTTCGTAGATAAAGAAAGCTCAAAATTACATAAAACCTGTACCTTGGTGCATCCGGATGCAGTTTAGGAACTCGAACATGGCCTTGGCGAACGGGCCGCGGCACACGGCGCACGACGACGAGCGGATGCAAACAGGGAACCGGTCGGGGGTCGCCGTCGGGAGCTCGCCGTCCGTCTCCTCTGGATCTGCCGAGCTGACCTGATTTCCGTGGCGACTGAGAGACCGGGGCCCGCGTCCGGGTAAGGGTGAGTTGGGCGAAGTATAGGAAGGCGGGTGATAGGCGCCGGCGGACCGGCCGCCCGCAACCATCCGATTGGTGCATGTATAACCGTTCGATACAGCTGTTGTTTCGTCAACGCACGCCCCTACGATGGATTCTGCATATAGTCGCTTGATTCCGCATCTGGCTGGCCGCACGCTCTTGCTGGTCGCCATGGTTGCCGGCCCTCCTCGTCGCCGGTTATCGCCCTCGCCGGCCATCCTCGTCGCCGGTCGCCGCACTCGTCGCCTGCATTTTTGGCCAACACCACGCATGCAACAGCTGCGGTGGCGACGGCCGCAGCTCGTCGTCGGCTTGGCCCGATCCAACCGTTCAGGCCTTATCTTCTTCCCCCATCGGAAACGATTCTCCCAGCGAAGCTTCCCTTCCCACGCCCATGGAAGCACAGCAAAAAAAGTGGAGGTCGTGGCTGTACTGGTACCTGATCCGTCGCCATTGCTGTTGTAGGAAGCACCGTCCAGCAGCTCCACCTTCCAAAAAAATGTTTGCAGCTCCACCTCCAATGACAAGCCAACGTTAGAGCAAACGTCAACGCCGGTGATAGAAAAAAATGAAGATCGATGCAGCAAAAGTGTCGTCGCCGTCGCGGCTCAGGGCGCGGCGTCGTCGTCACTCATGAATGGTTGCAGCAAAACGTCACATCGGTCGTAGCAAAAAGGACGACAGATGCAGCAAAACTTCGTCACCGTCGTCGGGGGGCGCAGCTAAGTCATAAAAAAAAGGATGTAGCAAATTTGCTTACCGGTTGTAGCACCGTTGGTCCCCGGTCGTAGCACATTTGGGCAGCGTGGCCGGGGAGTGGTCGCTGGTTCTAGCAAAACTCAAAAAGGCGGTTGTAGCAAAACTAAGCGCTCGTTTCAGCAAAACTCAAATACGGTGGTAGCAAAAATGTGTTGCTTCCAACAAAAACAGAGACAGTGGTAACAAGAATGAATACTAGTTCCAGCAAAAAATCAACCCGGTGGTAGCAAAAAAATTTACTGTTTCCAGCAACAACAAAAGATCCATGGCCAGGGGAGTGGCCTCCTGTCACAGCATCATAGTATTGCGTGGCGCCGGCCATGGACGCAGCTCCGACCATGGAAGCAACTTCACCGGCCCTGGACGCAGCTCCGATCATGGACGCAGCTTCGCCGGCCATGCCCTTTGTAGCTTCGGGCGCCATGAAGCAATAGGAGATGCAGTTGACAGCAGGAAAATCGAGTGGAGGACATTGGCTCGGGGGTCGGCTTCGAGGGTGCTCGCCGGAGAAGAAGAAGGGGACTCGCTGGAGGAGATCGCCGGGTCAAACTTTCATGGCAGCCGGGGAAGATTGGGAGAAAAGAAAAAGGACACAGGGAAAGGGAAGGAGAAGGACACAGGGGACAGGGAAAGAGATAACGTGGTGGGCCCGATTTGATTAGTTGTAGCCAGCGCGAGACCGGCCCAAGCGTTCGGCCGGCTCACCGTACGCAAGCGTTTCCCGTATAGGAACGGGCAGCCCTCTGCGGATCGGGACGAAACGGATAAGGTATTAGCCAGATCCGGTAAAGCACCACTCGTAAAAGATAGGCCCACTGATACTAATTTAATTTACAGTATCGTGAGGCATCAGACGGAAGAGAACCCGTAAACCCGTGCCGTAAACATTTTATTTTGCCAAATGATAACGCCTAACATATTTGCATATCGCCCATACGCGTTAATCCACCATAATTCCGTTTTGCATGAATTTTAAAAAAATTATGAGTGTCACGATAGACATAGCGTGTTGTGTGGGCGTTAGAGCGCTCGCCCACACAACCCACAGCACGTGGTTGCCAACTGCGACGTGTGGGCGAACCAGTTCCCGCCCACACAGTCGGCAATCAGTCCACGCACGTGTGGACGAGCGCCTCTTCACTCACACGACACTCGTACGGTGGTAGATGGCAACTGCAGTTGCATGTATGCGGCAACTAGGTAAACACACATGACAACTATGATTTGTTGGTAGATGGCAACTTCAATTGCGCGTACGTGACAACCAGATAAACACACATGGCAACTACGATTAATCATACATGGTAACTATGGTTTGATTGCATGCGACAACTATCATAAATTAGACATGACAACTATAGGGAACCAAAACTAAGAGAGTTGCCATGCTTTTACAACTACACTAGTGGTTGGGGCGCACCTTTGGTGCGCCGCCTGAGCGAAAGCTCTGTGGTGCCAGATAGGTGCCTTCCACTATCCTTTTTATCTAATGATTGTGATTAATGAAGTGACACTTACAAGAGATGGAACACATGCAGCTACATAATCACGGTATAAACGAAGCTAATAGCAAAGTAGTGGTAGTAGTAGTATAAGTCACGGGACCAACGGAAATGCATTGCTGGAAAATGTACTCCCTCATATGAACAACTATCATGGACAATACGTCGATGATGAACAGAGGAAAAATTTCTAAACTCGGGCATTCACAAAATGAAATCCTCTGGGCAGGATGATGAATGATAACCACTGGACTTTACTGCAGAAATCCAACAAGAAGCCAAGATTCTTCGACTAAAATTCTGAATCACAAGAGAATAACAGCAAGCCTATGATCTTAACTACAAGCTAGGAGTTCTTTGCTCCTTGTTCCTTTGAATTACAAACTTCAGCAGTCAGAAGCACTTGCATCTGCAAATTAGCAAACAAAGATATAAATAATTGAATCGATTTAACTGAGGCTGGCAGTTTGAGCCTCCTTAGCCTGGCATTTGAGAAAAAAGTGTGATAGGAGAATATACATATAGCCAATAGGTATATAATTGGAGAAAAGCAGTAGCAGCTCTGTTGAAAATCACAAAATGGAAACCATAATGCTATAATTTGCAATGCATAGCATATAATGCTATAATTAAGATACCAGTTTTGGTTATTCCATGTTAAGATACAAAGATTTTTCTAATTCATGTGGCCCCTTGAAAATCTGCCTTAAACCTTAAAGAATGCAAAGGATAAAAATCCACATATTTCTAGAAACGCAGTTACACATGTAAATAAACCCAATGATATTCATTACTGTCATGAGACCATGTCATCGGTGTCATTTCACATCTCAACAGAGTAGACATAACCAAACCTAACAAGGAACTACTCATTTGGAACCTTGAGCTATTTGGCCAGGTTAAGTTAGTTATAGGTGCCGCTTAGTTCAAAACAAACATGCATGACATCGGTAAAAAAATATTGTGGGTATTTACCATGTCCAGTGAATCAGCTCCAAGGTCAGAGAAGTTGGTGCTACCACAAACTTCAGTGCCTTCAGAAACAGCAAGTTGCCTCTTAACAATTTCACAAACCTTTTCCATTGTATCCTATTTTGCATGTTGGCATACATATCCAGAAAGAACTTGTGAGCTGTGAAGGACTTAAAAAATTGTAGCAAGCAACTATAGAAATGTGACACTGTGTAGTGGCCAACACACAACTGCTCAAGAGAACAGAGACATGAGCATACATGTACGCAAGGATTGAACAAGACGCGAGGTATGACAAAGCAAAACCAAGATGAGGCGAACTGAAAGAACCAGGCACATCATGACAACAAAGAGGGCACATATAGCCCTTATGTGCAAGTATACCTAAAATCAAAACTATGTCATAGTTGCACTTGCACAAGGTCAGATTAGAGCTCACCTTGTTGTCCTTAGTTTCACTCGACCAGAAGTCTTGAACTTGTTTCGATGCCACTACACCTTGTTGCCCTTCTGGTTAGCACTCCACCTGGTTAGCACTCCATCTTGTAAGCCTGTAGAAAACACATAGGGGAAAAGATTCACGAAACTCGTATAATTGAAAAGGAACAATCCGTACATGCCTTGTTCCAGCTCCTAATAAGATATATGTAGTACTACTATTTTCTGGCCATCGAAACAGAGCTAAATTAATTCAACACACAATAGATCAACCCAATCATGTGTGAATTCAGTCTCTTTGACCACTCTAAAAGCTACTCTGCATGAGGGGAATTTGGCAATGTTATTAGTAAGAAATCATAATAGGCTATCAACTCTAATTATTTAGGTGACAAATCCAAAAGTAGCAAAGAAGGCAATAATAAATATGCTCCATATAGCTTAGTTTCAATCACATGAAGAAAAAAGAGACAATAGACAGAGGCAAAGCAACCTATATTAATACATATTCCATATTTCTCCTATAATGCGTATATCTAATGCTTACGTATACCTTTGGCAGCAAAGTTAAAAAATCCAGAAATGGCTGACAACATAGTAAGCGAAGCAACACTATACCATTGGGTACTTCCCACCATAACGATTGCTAGGTATATAAGCAAAACAAATAAAACGTGAAGAGATACCTTGTGTGTTGCAACAGTCTCTATTAGCACACATCCACGATCTAGATGGTCATTTATCACAATATGAACAATCTGCTCAGTGGTTTCACTGTTATTGTTCAAGTTCTAAATGAGACTTCGATGATGAGATGACAAAACAACACAAAGAGGCTCCTGCGCAGAAGACAGGACAATTGAATATAGCATCATACATCAAATCTAAACCTAAATGACTCTAATAACAAATGCGCCGGGACTGTAACTACAACTACAAAACTACATCTAAGAGACTTATGCAAAAATACCTTGGAAGTTACATGAGCTAGACTCACAGCTAGCATGCCAACCATCAAATGTGCAGCGTGAGATAACACACTATCATCAGATTATATTGCCAAATCCTACAGGGAAAATATGACAGCATGTTAGAAACTTTTCGACTACAGCAAGAAAAATGGCTAATGAACATGTACAGCTAGG